GGTCATGTTCCCAGTATTCCATACGGTTTTACGTAAGCAAGAGTATAAATAAGGAGAGAGAGGAAGCTCTCGCTCTCTTTCTTCCGGCGGACCCAAGGTGGAGGTAACTCTACTATCGCTCTGCCCGGGTGAGGGAGTGAGGCCTGGCGTGTCTGGTTGGCCTTGAGAGGCGGACAGTGCTGTGGTAGCTGTGTGGTGTGGCTCGCTTCCTCTTGAGGGGAGTATTTAACTTTTTGTCCCTTTTTGTCCCTTTTGTATCCCTTTTTGTCCTTTTTTCCCTTTTCCCTTTCCCTTCCCTTTCCCTTTTGGGGAGTTCCCTTTTGTTGGTAGTGTGTATATAGTTTTCTTTAGATATATATAGTTTTCTTTATATATATATATAAATTTGAAATTTATTCGGTTTGGGTTCTTTTGGTTTTTTTTTCGGTCGGCTGGGAGAAAGTGAAAGGGAGGGGGAAGGTTTTGTCCCCGGGGTCCAGGCACTTGGCTGGGAGTCCCCGGGGTCCAGGCACTTGGCTGGGAGCCAAGTCCAACCTGGGACAAGCATAAAACAAATGTTTAGCTCTCCTTGACAGCACCAAGCCATTCGAAATGGAGGTAGTGGGATAAGAGCAAACACTCCACCCTCCTCCTTCCTCGGCAATATCAAGTCATCCTTTGGTCCCAGCCAGGTTGCACAGAGGTTACCAGTTTTTGAATTCATTCAGAAAAAATACTCAGATCATAAGAAGCCTGGAATAAAGTTGTTCAGCTTTAGACAGGTGGCAGGGTACAAACCAGTTAGCTGAAATAGAGAGGTCAAAGTGACAACACTGGCTGCTAGCAGACATCCATGAGGCTGAGATGAAGCTTGCAGCGAATAATTAGCCCACTGAGATCACTCTTAATAAAATGTGGTAGTGGGTCATACTCAGTCATCTGATTACAACTCCGGAATGGGATTTTCAAAATAGCAGCAATTCTGATGCTTCAGTTTAAACATCCAATATTACACATTTAAAATAGATTCTGTTCTCAAAGTACCCATTAGATACCAAATTCAGAATACAGAGATTGCTTAGAAATCTGGAACTCGGGACATCTGAGATCATCAGCCACTTTTGCAATCTTCCCTTTCCAGCAAGAACAGTGAATTAATACTTGAAAAATTCACCTCAGTCATTAGCACAGCAATAGTGAAAGGTGGTTGAATGTTTTTATGCTTCTTGTCTAAGGTATGAGTAAAGGCATCAGAAGGGTTGCACACACTGAGCTGCAGCTGCTGGAGTTTCAAGACAGATTAAAAAAATCTCTTTTGAAACCATTTCCAATCCAGGTTCATTGACTGAAATGTTAGGTATTTTTGACTTCTCTGCACTTATCTTTGCTAACCTGGCATTGAACCTTTTGGACTTAGCAAATAGAGTTACCATGGCTACTGGTGGCATCTTCCAGCAATGACTTAGAGCAAAAAAAGAGGCATGACATCCAATTGTTTAACTTTTCAAAATACCTTTAAGTATGAGAGAGGGAAATGATGACACTTGTAAAACTTTGTATCAAAATGCTTCTCAAAATTCCTATTCCTAGCTACAAATAAACTCAGAGTAATAGAAAAGAAAAATATTCTTATCTTCTGTGTCATCTTAATGCCACCAGGCCAGTTCCCTATATTCTCAGTCTGCATTTGAGGCATGATTCTGAGAAAACATGGGTGAGCAAAATAACATTGCTAGAGTTTATTCCTTCTAAAGGAGCTGAGTCTAAGAAACCACTAAGTAACATCGAAATGAACATCAAGATCTTGGATAGAATTTTTAAGCAGCACCAAATGATGCAATTCTAGTAACTTAAAAGCCAAAGAGTCATGCAAAATCAGGAGCAATTAGATTCTTCATGCTCTGTACCTCTTTGGAAATTTGATTTATACTTTGAAGCCATGTTGCTGCTTCATTAACATGACCTTTGGACGATATATTGTGGTGACAGGACACTTCATGCAAAGCCCTCCAGCATGTGGAATAAACCATCCTACAAGAGTGACTTAAAAGCATGAACTTACTCGGGAGAATTGTCTTGTAGCGATTCTTACGCACTAAGCCTGGAATATCATATTCCTTTGGGTCAACAAAGTTCATTGGAATTTCCTGTTAAAAAAACAAACAAACAAACAAACAACAAAAATCACAAAAACATAAGAGACGGTATGTGGTATTATTAGACTCACATGAGGAATAAAAACCCCAAGCCCATTATGTCCTCACTGTGAGGGAGGCAAATTGATGAAGTTAACTGAGACACACGGTACAGTACTTCTAGCAATTTACCACCAAACTATGATTGATGTTTCCTTTTACTGTCGCTGGCTTTTTTTTTTTCTGAAATCCTTAACACAAAAACGCTCACAGTGACTAATTCATTGAGTAACACGCACCACAGCGTTATGTTCACTCCTAATATTATTAGAACTGCATTGCAAGTGTAGGCACAGAACTAAGCAAAAGGTGGTACTCAAGACACTGCTCCAAGAGTGATGGACCTCAGACACCATCCTTTCTGACTCACATCGCTTCCTCTCCGAGGGTGTAAGTTATTAATTTGCTAGGGACTCACACCAGCAACAAAGTATGACACACGCTATGGCGTGTTGGCGTACTGACCTGACTCTGTGCAGCTGGGATTTTGCTCATCGTGCTGTCAAGTTCCATGGAGAAGGACAGCAAATGGGTATTCAGGGGTTACCTGCTCTCTACACTGCTGGTGCAAAGAACACACAAAGGTGGAGGGGCTTTGTATTCTCCACTGCACATCTCCTGCAATAAGCAGTCAAAGCCAGGCAGGAACAAGTGGGAACCTTCTACCAATTGTAGTCAGTAGGCATGGGATGGGAAGGGAAGCATTAACCATACTCAGCAGAGATGTGGTTCATGGGAACTTGGAAGCAGAGCTACTCCTCCCAGCTGCTGCACAGAGACACCACTACTGGGCATAATCATAACAGGAATCAGGGTTGAGTAAGACAAGCCTCACTCTGGGAAAAATAAGATGAGCAGAGCTAGGGACTACAGAAACATGGAATTGTTAAGATTGGAAATGACCTCCAAGATCATCGAGTCCAACTGTTCACCTAGCACCTCCATGTTCCCTGCTAAGCCATGCCTTTAGGCAACACATCCTCATGTTTTTGAACACTTTCAGGGATGGTGATTCCACTGCTTCCTTAGGTAGCCTGTTCCAGTGTTGAGCAACCTTTCTTTCAGTGAGTAATTTTTTTTCTAATATCCAATCTAAGCCTGCCACGGTGCAGCTTGAGGTCAATTCTGGAACTTTAAAAGACTATCTCTTCTCTCTCTCTCGCACAGTACAAAGAATACTTTTGGGTTTAACCAGAGGCAATGAATGATAAAAACATTTTGTTGAAGTACTTTTGTATCAATTTGGAGAATTGCATGGGAACAAAACCTTCATATTTTCTCAATTGTTACTTGGTGTTTAGTCACTCCAAACTCTTCCTGAGTCAAGCTCCATGATCTCTTTTTTGCGTCTTAAGTCATTCACTGTTCAAGTCAAATCTTGGTTAAATCAACAGGACTTCTGCCTGAGTAAAAATTCTAAATCTTGTAAGAATTTCAGGATTTAGCCCTGCAAATGTCCCCTCTGACTTTTCTTCCAAAATGAAACAGAGCTGCTTGCTTCATTATGCATCTGGACTTAAAAAACCAAGCAGGTTAGACAGACTGAAAATACACAATGCAGAGCTGGCTGGTGATAACTGTTTCATAAAAAAATTACTAGTTCACAGTTTTTAATTACAGAAATGATCACACAGCATTTTGATTACACAGCATTTTTATCTGTGCTTTTCAGTTTTCATTAAAGAATGAAAATAGCTTTGGATAGTTTGGCTGCTGAATGAACACCAGGAAAAAACTAATTCCAAATCCCTTACAGAAATGAAGCATATTTTTTCCTATTTCTAACATTATTTTCTTTGCTTGAAGGCTACAGTGTACCTCAGAGACTGATGAAACTGTATGTGGACTAGTTCAGCATTCAGTTCACACACTAAGTGAACATTTCCTCCCTAAAACAGTAATAGATGCTTTACCTTGAAAGAATCATGGCATGCCTACACAAAAGCTGCTTTTCTTCAACTTGGACAGCACTAAGTGAACTAAGGACCACAGACACCTGATGTTCTGTTTTAAAACAGAAGCCCAGACCATCCCCCTGTTCTTGTAAAGTGAAAAAACCCCCTGAAAACGCACAAGGAGGGAGGACAGCAAGTGATACTCAGAGCATTACTCCTTCCGTTTCAGGTCATGAAGAGGACAGGCTGAAAGAGCTGTTATGTTGCAAAACATAATCTTCCTCCTGCTCTGCTGAGGTTCCATGCTTAAGAGAATATTTGACTTGGCAGTATTAAATTCAGCAGCTCTTGATCACGTGCCCTGCAACACCTCAGCACGCAAAGTCTGTGCTCTGGTTACCTCCCATCTTGAGCAGGAATTTACAACCCTGCCTAGTAGACGTAATACAGCCAACTGCAGCATTTTACATACTACTATTTTTGTCACGTATAATAAACATGACAAACATGACAATGCCTATTACATGGACATCCAAGTAATTGGGAAGAGACTCAATTGCATGCAAAGATCTAAGAAGTTAGGGTACTCACTACGCCAAAATGTGTCTGACCTTTGTCCTAAACTACTCAGAAATCCAATTTTCAACTGCTTGCTTCATCTGTGTAAGTATATTTTCCCAAAATGAGGCAAAGAGTCTTTCTGCCAAAGCATCAGTGGATACAGTGAGCCAAGGATATATATTTCAAAATCCCAAAAGTAACTGTCAGAGAAGCTTATGACTAGTAAATAATAGCCCTGTGCTAACTAAAGAACATCGAGTAGCTCCACATCAAGCATTAAGCAGCAAAGAGAACGGGTTAGGGTGGTTGGGCACTGGAACAGGCACACCAGGGAAGTGGTCACAGCACCAAGGCTGACAGAGTTCAAGAAGCGCTTGGACAGTGCTCTCAGGCACATGGTGTGATTCTTGAGGATGGTCCTCTACAGGACTAAGGGTTGGACTCAATGATCCTGGTGGGTCCCTTCCAACTAAGCATGTTCTGTGATTCTGTAATTTCATCCCTAGAGCAATTCCAGACACATTTCAAAAAGTTATGCCTACAGAAAACATGGCTTTTCTTCTGCATTCTGTATTCTTTTTTATAAAAAAGTAACATGCCAACAGCAAAACCCAAAAAAACTTGTGAAAAGTAAGATTTGCTGTTGTCATTGCCAGAACTGTTTCTCTCGTTTTTAAGTGACAATATCACTGAAAGCTTTCAGATATTGTCATTTCAAGGGATGACAAATTTGGGAATTGCATGAAATGCTTCACTGATGGAAGCAGAGTTTGTATGTACTACTTTTAGACTTGCATAAAATAATAGCAAGGTTCATAGGAGAGAGACATCATCTAATTTTTATTGATGCTCCTAAAAGAGAGAAGTCGGATACTCACAAAGAACTCTGCCTGGAGTATGAAAGGATCCAGTGCTTTCTTGTGCAGTTCCTCTTCAGTAAGAATGTTTGATGCTGTCTGGAGGTATTCTCGGGCTGACTGTTCCCGTGGTGACATGACATAGCCAAAACCTTGCTCAGAACAGCCTGGGGTACACATATCCAGTGTGAGTGAAACATTTGAACCTCTCCTGCAAAACAGAGCGGTCAAAGTTTGCTTACAACAGAACAGAGTGACCCACCATTGTCAGCAATGGACACAGCCCCAGTGACAGATTAACGACTTCAGAAAAGCAAAAAAAAAACCAGAAAGCTGGTTCTCATGGGTACAGTTTGGTCACTAACTGTAAAAAATAGGTGATGCTTCTTGTGTAGGCAAGACCAGGAGATGATTTTGTGCACTGAAACATGAAGGCTGACACTCTGATCGGTGGAGTAAGATCCTGGGATAAACTATCAGTTCAACATCAATAAAGATAAGAAAAGTCAACCACTGTGGTGAATAATTTTTATGTCTGAAAAACTTTGTTTCCACGAATTTACATAATGAAAAGGATAAAATGAAAGTCCCAACATTTTAACAGTTACATTGAAAACAGAGATACTGTCGAGTGTAGAATTTTTAGTGGCTTTATTGTAAGTTAGCCACGCAACAAAACAAAGAAGTCAAAATGCCTACATTATTTATTGAGTACCAGTCTTAACATATTTCTGAGCTTCTGCCAATCATCTCACATATCATAGACAAAAGTAAGATTTAAAAGGCATCAGTGAATCTATATTGAAATATCTTTAACAAAAAAATAAAGTCACACAATATGATGACTACTAGATAATTGTTCTGTATATCCACACAGTAAACCTATTTTTGATGAATCTCAACTGGCAAAATCTAGTTAGGAGGTGAGTGCAGGAGCTGTTGAGAAATCGCATGGTCAGCTCGTGGAAGTTGGGTCACAGCCCTTTCCTGGATTCAGGAGTTTTTCCAAAAGAATGTGCAGCTAGCCTCTTGTTATGATTCAGTGTCATGGGGAAATGATTTGGAATGAAACATGACCACAAATGGCAGACACCAAATCTTCAGTGATATCTTTCAAAGGATTTTGACCTTACCTCCCCGTGTGCTATTGAACAGCTACCACATTTCTCCCCAGAAACAGATGCATTTGACAATGAATGCTTTTAGTTCTTTCAAGGTGGAAGAGGCTACATACATGAATAGTTCTTCAGCATGAGGAAAGGAGATTTCTTCTTTAACAACAACATTCAGTAGTGTTTGAATTTAACTACTGATTATCCCTCTAATGGTGTAGGTAGTCAAAGAATGAGAGGGAAATAAGATAGAGAAGTAAAATGGATTCCAAAGAAGGAGAGGTAGGTAATTTAACACAAAACCAAACAAAGGAGAAGTGTCCAATGGTTAAAGTAAATGAAATTTGCCAGAGTACAGCTTAAACCTGAAATGATGTCTGTCTTCTCAAGAATAAGTGTATGTAGAAAACAAGTTTATTTTACATTTTAAGTGTACACATAGTATACATTCTACCTAGCGTGAGAATTTCAAGCAATTGCTTTATTTTCCCCACCTTTAGTTCTTTGACAAGTTTTTAATTGTAATTCATTACCTTAACAAATTGTTTGCTCCCCAACTGATACCCCCCAATTGATATTCCCTAACTCTCTCGATACAGTGAGTATCTTTCCTGCAGGTTAGCAGTCACCTGAGAAGAAATGTCAGCATCTCTATAATGACTGAAATGGAATGAAATAGAAGATAGTGAAGAGCACAAATGATTCAGGCTTTTCCAGCCCAATCTTGCCATAATGAAAGAAACAACAAAACTCACTGATGGCAGCAGGTTCAGGGACAAGCCCCAGAGGCTACTGCAATCTCATGTGAAAGGTAGAATATAGCAATAAAAGATAGGAGATTTTAGGACAAATGTTATCACAACATATAAAATGAGAAAAAATGCTCTGAGCTCATGGAGTGTAAGTTGAAAGTCTCTTCTGTAACATCCCTTTTACTGTGCCCTGTGGAGATTTAAAAAATCAGCATCATACTTCTTAAAATCTAAATTCTGCCCTTTGTTTTAAGTTTTAGGTATGAAGATTAACTATGGTTGGCAATCCAATTAAGCCTGAAAACATAGAAATAAAGAAAGGTGATACTCTGCCATGCTGGGCCCTTCAGTAACCTCATTCTTATTTAAAACACCATCACCTTTGCAGCATTTCTTTACAGGACTTCTTTCATCAAGACCTTTGTCTGATTTCACTAATAAAATGGAAAGAACACAAACCAGAAAAAAAAAAGTCTGTCTTCTGCCTTGAAACTGCCTTTTACCAGCTGTGAATCTCTCCGAGAAGCTCCATTGCCCTGATGGTTCAAGCAGTGAACACCAGCTCATCTTGATGTTTCATTACTGAGTTAATTTGAAACAAATTCATTTACTTTTGGACTAACTCATTTATACAAGAATTATTGCAGATGACCACTCTTCCTATGGTGTTCTTCTGGAGAACTGTCCTCCAGCATGAGTGACAGAAAAAAAACCTACAAGATCCACCTCTTTAGAAGGTGAAAGCTTTCACTGCCCTATAGTGGATTTCATGCTATGCAGTTGCCATCATGGGGAATGGCAAAAGCCTGAAGAAACAGAGATATATTCAAAGGAAAGAAATTATGCTTTAGAATAGCACTTGTTGACAGCTGCCTAGAAACTGAACGTTTTTTTAGGTAATATGCTTAAATTTATAACTGGACTGAAAACAAGATAGGAAATAACTATAAATATATATATATATGTAATAAAGCGTTTGACTTTAAACCCCATTTTAAAGTGACATTCACAAAGGCAATAAAAGCTTCCTGCTTTGCATAGAACTCCTAAATCCACAAATTCTGGGACCAGACTTTCCCCTATTAGCCACATCTACCCTACCTTTCTTGCAAGCCCACGGATTTAACCGTTAGAGTAGCTGGGTCTGTCTCCGCTTTAATGTCCATTACGCAGTCAAAGACCGGAGTCTCCGGTACGGGATCCAAATCTAGGAAGTCATCCTCATTTTTATCCTCTGTCCACTCTGAGTACGTGAATGAAGGCTGTCGGCTCACAGATTGGCGTCTGTCCTCTTGTAGCGGGAAGGGGGGGTCTGGTCGGGCTCTGAGCAGATGCCAAAACTAAAGGAAACAAACATTTTAAAAAGCCTTCTGCTTGTTGCCAGCCCTTCCACACAGCCCAGAGGATGGGTCTTCAGGGCAACATCCCAGCTCACTGGAATGTATTGGAACTGGAGAGCACTGAAGGGGACAGGAATGTTCCATGCAGGAATAGCTTTGTGGTGCGTGTTACAAGGATTCACATCTACCCATTCAAACCTGCTTTCAGCCACAGAGGTTTCCACAGAGTTGGCCAGGCTTAACTCCGGGATACAGTAAAAGTGGAATGTGCTTGTGACCATCATATGCAAGCCAACGTGATATCACTGTCCTTTTGTTCAGTTTCTTATCCTTCCCAGGTTTGTTTACAAAATAAAAATCTATTATAATATTCTACAAATCATACCTCTCCTGGTTTAATAGTTTTCTATCTAAAACTTACATATGGCTGAGTTAAGAAAAGAAAATATAATTGAACTGAATGACTTTGTTAACCAAAATTTATATATAAATATATAAATATATTTGTATACCCAAAATTTATATATAAATCCATCATTTTTTAAAAAGGCCTCTGTTTTGATGTACCTGATTCTGAGGCTCAGAACACCCTTATCAGTTTTTGGCAAAGACTGTTTTATAATCTAATCATCTGATTTGACCATGGTATAAACATTAAAAAATTAATCTTAATTTGGAAACCAGATCAGTAGATTGTTTAAATCCTTCACATAGGCCTCAGTTGAAAATTTCAAGCCCAACTCTGGACTCCAGGATCTGGAACTTTAGGCCAGCTTCATCCATGTAGCACTGAACTAGGAGTAGCATCACTCCGGATAAATGTCGTACAAACTGCAACTGTACTGTCATGAATCCTTTTGAGACTAAGAACAGGTCTTATTTTTCCAAAGTAAAGCCTCTTCTGTCCTTTTCTTATATGGCTTTTAGCAGACAGTTGAATTTGGAAAATGTGCCACGAAAGGTCAAATGTCTTCCTACGCTAGTATAGCACATTAGCCCGTACAGGTTTGAAAGAACAGTTTTCTTGTGCCTGTCTTATTTTCATGTACTTTCATTTCTCTGAGCCTAAAGAATGAAAAGAAGTGAAGCAAGTTTTAATTTCTGTCCATATCTAGCTTTAGCCAGTGTTAGACTCTCATAAAGCAGCAGTATTTATTTGACAGCTACAAAATGCTTTTTCGTTTCAGTTAATCAGAGTACACAGGAATTACAAAAGCAAACACAGGAACACCATTTTACACAAACCTGAGGCCAACTCTGAACTGGGTCTGTCCTACATTCTCGGCCTGTTACATGACAAGCAAGAAGCTGGAGGATCTATTTTCACTCCTTGACTACTAGAGTTTGGCACTACCACATGGCACTAGCCATGGTTCTTACCCATACTGCAAGACTGTGATAGCTGAGCAGTGATCAGTAACTCTGTACTGCTGAAGAGTGCTGCTGTACCAAAATCAGTGCTTGTGCTGAGGGCCAAGTGTAAGGTCTAGGTACCAATCCTCTGTTACAGATTCTAGAACTTGTATGGTGACACAGGGCTGATTTTACTGGTGATTCAACCCACTATAAATCCAAAGCCACAAAAAGTTCCCCTTAGAAACAAAACATCTTTCCTTTACATTGAAAAAAGTGTGTGGCAAATAAGGAGCTGTCCAAGATACTGGAAGAAATTAAGTTATACTTAAAAGTGATGAGGTTACACCAAACAATGGAAGAACAGTCCTCTCTGAAGACCTGCTCAGAAAAACATTTCAGTGCTGGTTCTCTGCAGGAGCCTGAGTGTTAACACACCATGGTATCAGACAGAAGACAGATAGCATCACTAATACAAGCCTCAAGCACCCTATCCAGCCTTTTGTTTTCATCATGACTGCTAAACCACCCAACACATTCTGGTACCTGGGTGCTTCAAACATTAACTGATGTCTGCTCTCCTGAAACATTTGCTCTACGTGTATTAGAGTTACAAATTCCCCCCTACAGGAATGAGCTGGACTTCAGCATGTGTGCAGACCAGACAGATATCACTTCTGAGAATCTGCTGAACTACGTTTCTCACCCTTGCTACCTGGCTCAACAGTTACTGCTCTGCATTAAAGCAACAAAGCACCCATATAAACAGGCACATTTTCTCCCTTTCCCAGGGAAGTGGTAAAGTAGTGCTGTAGATTACCACAGCTGATGAATAAAAAAAAAAAAGCATAAGCTGCTTTTCACTGGTGTGCCATTTAGTACACATCCCAGGGGCTACGGGCCACTCAGTCTCACCTCAGTGCCCGATGGAGCGTTGAGGAGTACCCTGGAAACCATGTTAAAGCATATGGAAAATAAGGAGGTGATTGGTGACAGCCAACAGGGCTTCACTGAGTGCGAATTGTGTCTGACAAATCTGGCGGCCTTCTAGAGTAGGATTACAGTGGTGGTGGGTAAGGAAAGAGCGACTGACATCATCTACCTGGACTTGTGCAAAGTATTTGACACTGTCCTGCATGACATCCTTGCCTCTATATTGGAGATGCATGGATTTGATGAATGGCCCACTTGGTGGAGAAGGAATTGGCTGGATGGTCACACTCAAAGAGCTGCGGCCAATGCCTCGATATCCAGGTGGGGACCAGTGATGAGTGGCATTTCTTAGGGGTCAGTACTGAGACCAGCATCGTTTAATGCATTTGTTGTTGACATGGACCGTGGGATTGAGTGCACTCTCAGCAAGTTTGAAGAGGACACACTGGAGGGAAGGGATGCCATCCAGAGGGACTTGGACAGACTTTAGAGATGGGCACATGTGAACCTCAGCAAATTCAGCAAAGCCAAGTGCAAGGTTCTGCATGTGTGTCAGGACAATCCCAAGCACAAACACAGCTGGGGGGATGAATGGACTGATAGCAGCCCTGCCAAGAAGGACAGGGGGTACTGGTTGATGAGAAGCTCAGCAAGACCCAGCAATGCACACTTTAAGCTCGGGAAAAAAAAGCATCTTATCATGGGCTGCATCAAAAATAGCATGACCAGTAGGCTGGGGGAGGTGGTTCTCTGCCTCATGAGACCCCATCTGGGGTCCTGTGTCCAGCTCTGGGGCCCCCAGCACAAGAAAGACATGGATCTGTTGGAACAAGTCCAGAGGAGGCTGTGAAGTTGATCAAAGGGCTGGAGCACCACTCCTACAAAAACAGGCTGAGAAAGTTGGGGCTATTCAGCCTGGAGAAGACAAGGCTCCAGAAAGACCTTAAAGCAGCCTTCCAGTAGCTCTAGGGGGATTACAAGAAAGTTGGAGATGGACATTTTACAAGGGCATGCAATGACAGGACAAGGGGTAATAGCTTCAAATGGAAAGAAGGCAGATTTAGATCAGATATTAGGAAGAAATTCTTTACTATGAGAGTGGAGAGGCATTGGAACAGATTGCCCAGAGAAGGTGTGGATGAACCATCCCTGGAAATGTTCAAGATCAGGTTGAATGAGGTTCCAAGCAACCTGGTCCCGTGGAAGGAGTCTCTTCCCATGGCTGGGGAGTTGGAACAAGATGGTCCTTGAGGTCCTTTACAACCCAAACCAATCTATAATTCCATGTATATCAGAGTGGGACTAACGTATCAGGTCCATCTCTAAAGAGAGAAGGGTACATTTGGGAAAGCAAGATTTGATTATAAAGGCACTCCTCAAAGTAAAAGATCCCTTCAAGGTGTCTTCTAGGCAGCACATTGCTTAAAATGAATTTTAAAGAAGGAATGAGCGAGAGAGAGATGACTCAGTCAAGAGTCACAGGAAAAATAAAGAAAACAATAAAGAAAACTATCTTTATGCAGCTATCTGTTGTTCACCAGGCTGGGATTCTAGAAACCCTTCCCGGTTCATTCACTATTTTCAATGTTCTGCCAATGATTGTTTTATACCTTATTCCTTAAATATTGTTAGAAGCAGATATTTGCAAACTGCAAAGCAGCATGAGCTGAGACATCTGAGAGTAAGGTAAGAGGTAGACAGGAAGGGACAAGGCTCATGTGCTCTCTCTAAACAAATTCTCCTTCCTAATGTCCCCATTAGAGAGATAACCCTGGGCAAGATGGACCATTGGTATAAACTCACAGGATGTTTCTTATACCCTGCTGCCTTGTGACTTATTCAGAGAGCCAGGTGACACAGCGTGACATTCGTGTCTCTACTGCAGCTAGAAGACTGTTAGCACAGACCACAGGGACACAAACCAGTGCAAACCTGGCTACAAGGAAACTGTTATAAAACTTTTTCCTATACAAAAGTTTTAGCCAACACTTAAAAATGGACCGAAGTCTGCTCTGATCTACGCTAGTATTTGTGTTCACCTGCAAGGAATTCAAATGCAAAGCGGTTCAAACTGAGATCAGAATTTTTGGGCACACAGAATTTTCACTTCATGTTACCTTCTGTGTTAAGAAGGGGTCACAATAAATGTTTCCATCCACCAAGAAATAGTTGAATATGCACAAAGTCGCACCCCTCCTATTCAGATTTTCAGCTCAGAATGTTTTTGGGGTTTTTTTGTGTTTTGTTTGTTTGTTTGTTTTTTGTTTTGTTTTTCTTTTTTTTTTTTTAATTTAGTCTTTGCAATTACAGAATCACCTGAAGTTTATTTTTGAGGACAAAATTAATCTGGATAAGGAACAGCATCATGAAAAAAGCAGAAAATTGCATAAACCCAGCTAACTTCCTTGCCTGCATCAATGATCATAATAAGGAGGCATTAACTATAATTACTTTGCCTTGTGAATGGTTTTTAGAAAGTACATTCACCTGACACATTAAAGAGAAGATTTTGCCACTGTGCTGCCTCTGAGTGAACTTAACCATGGCATACAATGTGACATACTTCCTAGCAGGGAGTGTGGCCAGCAAATCACAGGAGGTATTTCCCCTCTTCTTGGCCCTGACCCAGCTGCACCTTGAATACTGTTTACAAATTTTGGTCTTCCAGTTTAAGATAGATACGGAAAAACTGGAGTGGGCCCAGCAGAGGATTGCAAAAGAGGTCAGGGGTGCAGAGTATAGGACCTTTGAAGAAGGTGGAGGGAATTGGGCTTGTTCAGCCTGGCAAGAGGAGGCTCTTCTTCGTAGTGGCAGCTGTTACCACAAGGGACAATGGCCACAAACTGCAGAAATTCAGCTCAGACATTTAGCTCTGTGAAATTCACATCAGACACTATGAAAAAATTCATCCCCAAAAGTGCTGTACGTCTCCTTCCCTGAAGGTTTTCAAAACTTGTACAGAAAAATGCATCTAACTGAGTGTTGGCAACAGCCCTGCTTCAAGCAGGATGTTAGATCAGCAAGCTCTAGAGGTCCTTTCCCCCCAGCAGTCCCATGATTCTATAATGTAGTTCATTATACTGTGCATCACTCAAACAGCATGCCAACAGTATAGCTTCAGCTTCCTGAACTACCCAAGGGTGCACCTCTGTAAGGACAGGAGGTGATGCTTCACCTGCATCTTCAGTAACTGCATTCCCACTCTAAGAGAACAGCATACCAGGGTACGAAAAGCCACATTCAATTAGAGCTCCCTAAAAAGAAAGCATTTTTCATAGTTTTCCCATCTACCACACAGCTTTGTGCCAGTTACGCAATCAGTGGAGAAACACGATATTCTCCTCCTGTTCCCGAACAGCTGACGGCTAACTAGATTAATTGTAAGTATGCCACTAAGCTTGTTCTGCAGCTGGGGTCTTGGCCTACATCTACAAGTGCTTTACATTCAGAAGTACACTGATGTTCTGGAACAGCTCTTTCTGCCACTGAAGTCAATGGATTAAGGCTGTTACTGGACCACATCCCTTCTATTTAAGTGCAAATTGTTTGCCCATCTGTGGATGGAAAGAACAAAAACCATCAGTGTGATCCCCAATTAATCAAGAAACTTGGTTTCTTGGTTAAGAAACCAAGGTTAGTTCCTCTACACAAAGCAAGCAGATAATTATATAGAAACGGCCCCCCAAAAAAATGTTGCTTTACAATTAACTTGGGCGTTAACACCAACAACTTCAAGTAAATTAAACATCTTACAAAAACTCACTGAAAAAGGACATGAATATAGTTTTCACAGTATCATAACTTACCAGAGATCCTACAAACAGCAGTCCTAGAGAAGCTAAAGACAGCACGATGTATGATACCACAATGCTCCCAATTGTAGTCAGGTTCTGTGAAACAACAGAGTAGACAACCCATGAAATATTTAGGGACACAGTACAGTGTCTGCAAGCATGTTCTTGGCAAACTGTGTATTATTTCCCATCAAGCAGTAGCCATACCATACTCACCTGTGGAAAAGCCGTCAGCACCAGAAAAAATGCCAGGCTTTGGAGAAGACTGAAACTGAAACCATCTCCAAGCCCCATCAACTCAGAAAGTCTAAACCCCAGGTTTTGCTGTCAAGGCAAACAAGAATTCTGCTTCCTACCCTCATGTGTTGCCAAAATTGAGATCTGGATCCACAATTCAGTTTTGCAGCCCGGACCCAATGCTTCATTGCTGCAGTCAGTGCAATTTTATACATTAGCAAAGGGCTCTGAAGGCAGTTTAGTTCTGTTCCTGTGTTTAGAGGTCCTTACATAAAATCCAGCCACAGAAGACTTTTCTCTGTTTTCTACATATTCTGTGAAATACCACCAGGTCAATTCACACCACTGGAAGTGAAATTAATTCCAGTGTCTTAGCCATAATTAAGTAGCTTATAGTTTGGCCTGTTCTCAGTAGCAGGTGCAAAATTCAGTTCTAATGGGCTTCAGTGGTCAAGGAATTCTACTCTGTTTCTGTCCCATTAGTACAGCTAAAAAAAAAGCTGGAGTTAAGAGCTTCCATTTGCTTATTTAATGACAGAAGATTTCTTTGCCTTTACTGTTTTCAAGTCAAAATTTGCATGATAAACAGTGCTATAATAAACAGTCCTCAAAAATCTGCATGAACATCTGCACAGTCATACTTGGGATGTTGTTGTAGTGTGTTCTAGGAATCAGTTTCCTCCATGCAGAACAATTATTTTAAGTTAAAATCAAACAAATCAGTGATTTTCTGTAAGGAACAACAATTTGTTAATGATTCAGCCACTACAAATAAGACACAGGCAGTAGTCTATGAAGAGTTCTGTGTCCAATAAATCCAACTGCAAAAGGGCAAGGCAAAAGTGCTTCTTTCGAAAAAAACCCACGAAAGAGCAGGCGACATGCAGCTCATAAACACTGATAAGAGGAAACAGAAAACAGTCACCAATTTACTTCAGTCATAAAAGGCACAGAATCAGATTTTTTATTTGTACTGCATAGCCTCTGCTACAAAGATTATGTACAATGAATCTAAGCATTCTGATAGCAAATATATTTCATCTGATTTTTGAAAGTAGCTGTTCGCTATTTAATTAAGGTTCTGTCCACACCAGAAAAATCTGCACTGGGTGTAATTACCAGTAATTTATCAGATGAATCATTCTGGTATACGTGTCATTATGTCATGGTGAGAAGCTAAGCAGTTTTACTGGTGTAGCTTTGTAGATATAATTGAGCCTGTACACCTAGTACACTTGAAATACATTTACTGCACATAGATATATTCTAAACACTCAACAAAAATAGATTTTGGGACTGAGTATGTTGTGAATTGCACCTTTTATGTGGGTTGATCCATTCTTTCAGAATTTAAGGTTTTATTCATCCTAATAAATGAAGTTCCAGCTCTCCCTTTACTGTGGACTAAACCTTAGTGGGCTGGCTTCTTATTGCTTTGTTTCACTTGCAATTATTAGCACATTACAAAAAATCTGCTGTGCTGACCTAACATCATAGCCAAAAACTCAGCACTGTATCTCAAAGATAAAATACTGATCTGTTTTCAGGAAACTCCTTTTACCTTCTCAGGAGAGACACACAATGCAGCAGTCACTGTAATATGTGAAATACATGTGCATTACACTTCTAATCAGAAGAGATATTAGGAGCACCACCTAAGGCTACTGACATCAACTACATAATCAGAGAGGAGTACAGGGACTTACCTCCCCTTGATCTGACAAAACCTGTTTAAATGGGGTAAGCAAGTACGAGAGCAGGTCAAAGGCATTCTGAGCTGCTGGGATGGTCCCGTAAGTGCCGTACCACAGCATCATGCAGAGAAGCTGTGCAATCAATCAGAAAAGACATAATGAGCACCTCTCATTATACAAACATTCATTTTCATTTCAAGACTGCATAATTAACTAATTTAGTTAGCATTGATTTCATCTTGATTATCATTTTTGCTTTAAGAAGTCAGGTATTTTCTAGGCTGTAGATTAACAGGAATAAAAAGACTTGAAGGCTGCATACCCAGCTACTACTAACTAGATGTGCAGCCCTGAGTTACGCAGGCTTACTCTGATCCACACTAGAAAAAGGACTGCCCAGGTGTACATCGAAAGAGCAACAGATTCCTCTGACCTCTTCTAGATCAAAACTGGTAATTCAGTGAAATGACTATGCTATTAAAAAACTATTAAGGCCTCTCTGAAATCTCTCCCAAATCAGCCACGTTTGCATAGACATCTCTTATAAATAGATACACACACGCAGACAAACACACATAGGAACTTTTCATTTGAACCTCTTATAGGTGCTGCACACACCAGAGGTAACATAAAACTACAAAAGCAGTGATGTTTTACGTAGGACACACACAGAGAGATATAACCTCATCTCTGACAGTGAAGGGCACACCACAACTTCACTGGGGTACACTTCCTGATCCACTTGTTAACAAGACAGGTGTTTATCCCCATACATACCAGCTACAGAAAATGGATTTGATGGGAGACCAGTCATTGGGCAAAGGCATTTGTAGTGAGGCAGTAAATGGAATGGGAGTCTGGGACATGAAAATGCAGGGGCTGTTTGCAAGGTAGAGGTGGCTGCAGAAATCAGAGGACTGCATCTATGTCCACTGCTACATCTACAGTAAATGAGGAGGAACTCCCAAGCCAACCGAGCTTAAAAGGAGGGTCGCAGCATTTCAAAGCTATGGCAAACTGCCTTACCAGTATCTGTGAGAGGACAAACAGATACATGTGGTCTCCAGGCATTAATCCATTCCATCGGGGCGCCCAACCAAGCACTGCTGTTTTCTGAGAGGTTTTCAGGGACTGCTCCTTCCTGTTCAGCTCTTCTTGCTGTCCTTCAGCTTCATCCATTGACTCCATAACGGCTGGACTGGAACAACCTTCACGTGAAAACGACATGTGCAGGGGATGAAGAGTGTGTGACCCCGCAGGCACGGCAGGGGCTGCGAGGGCTATTGTTTTCCTGGAGACGATGGTTACCTCTCAGTTCTGCATCAGTAAGTGCAGCTCAGGATTGTGAGCGTCACACTCTATTAGTGCAGTTTATTCACCTGCCTTCGTCAGAAAAAAGTGAGTGTGGGCGGATAAATTATTTTCCCTTTCTTTCCGGAGGTGCAGATTCTGGGCTTTGTTGTTAATAAATTCTCATCTACATTGCTGCACCTTTTCATTTTTACTTTTTAAAAGAAACTATCTGTGCTATTGCCTAGCTACACACTTCTCAGCTAAATGGTGGCACAGAACCCATTTTTTTCCCTTCCTGCCTCAATTTCTCTCTTCTCCCCTATTCATCTGCTTTGTCTAATTTGATTATAAATGTCTGAGGTAGAGCTTGTTTCATATTTTGAGTCTGAATAGTGCTCAAAGGCTCTGGGTTTTGGCTGAGTGTCCTAAGACACTAATAAAATAGACTTTATTCTAATAACCTACTTCTTGGATGAATTCATACTCAAGAGCTATTTAATAATGTTGTAACGTTATTTTGTTTGGCAGAAATAACTGCTGGAGTGGCTAGTCCCTCAGTAACGGTATTCTGAACAGAGTCTGTGTAGATAAAAATTAATTTACAAGCTAAAAGGAGTGAAAGATCAGACCCATTTGATGTAAGTACTACTGACTCACATCTTTCTACATGAGGAAAGCCCCAAAGCTGCCCTGTGTACAGCACTGTAGCCTTAAGCCTAAGCCAGCCACCTGTGTCCCAGGGAAAGGCCACATCATTGGCCCTTCCCTGGTTTCAGAGAATCACAGAATATGCTGAGTTGGAAGGGACCCACCAGGATCATCGAGTCCAACTCCTGGCCCTGCGCAGGACCCTCCCCAAGAGTCACATCATGTGCCTGAGAGTGTCGTTCGAACTCTTCTTGAACTCTGTCAGGCTTGGTGCTGTGATCACTTCCCTGGGGAGCCTGTTCCAGTGCCCAACCACTCTCTGGGTAAAGAACCTTTTCCTGATATCCAACTTAAACTGTTTGCTGAAGTCAACTATAAAAAGTTCTTCTCAACAGATATTTCTCTAAATGTCTCACAACAGTAACTCTAGAATCCATAAAGTAGCCACAGCTCTAATTAGACAAATGAAATATAAGGACCTTGTATCAGCTGAGGGTCTCACCACAGTAAGAATTCATGAAAATACAGGAACATGAGATGTTTATTCCCACTCTGCTACTGTTCTCCCTCCCCTCACTGAAACAAACCTTAGGACATCCATCCCTGCACATGAGCACAAGGTGTTTAGGAAACACTGATGGCTTCATCTACAACGTTCTCTATTCCCACAGCTGCCCAGTAACAAGAGGGTCATCAGGGGAGACTCAGAGACACACGAAGACACATCTGCAGTGTACTACCACGTGTTTCCCCAGGAGCACAAGGTTACTGCTTTCTTGTTTTCAAAATGTCCATGTCAGTTCATGATGAGTAATGGCCTAGCAAGGCATGCTGGGTATAACCAGTTATATGTAACGACTTCATTGTCTTTACACAGATATTTCTCAGGAAACATGGAGAATGTGCATCTAAACAGATAAAACCCCATGCATGTCATACCACACGTACGTGCTGAAATTGAAGTTGAAAATTGTCAAGCTTATAAACTACTTCATATCTCACTGGATTTGAACAAGAATTAAGGGGAAAACACTTGTTAATGATTGCCAGTTTTTTCCCTGCTATTTCTGTGGGATGTTTATGCTCTGTGTTTTGGAATGGGAATTCGAAATTTAGCAGGGACAGAATCTTGATGTCATAAACTATTTTTGTCATCCCTGCAGAGAGATATGCACCTGTGGCTGAGATCTAAACCTTCAGAAATATCTGTTTATGTATGGTTCATTATTGTTTGCTGCTAAAGTCTCAAGCCTTCCATTTTCACTAAACACATTTTAAGTTCTACTTTTCCTTTATCTACATGAAATAATAAATTTCTGTCCCTAAGAATGGTTAATAAACACATTTACTGTTTTTCCAAATTCTGATGGCTTCCTTTCTTCGATACTCCTCCCCAAAGCTCAAGATAAAATAGATATGGTGAAGAACTAAAATATTATTGGGAAGACAACCCAACAAGGAGACAGGGAATGCAGATTTCAAGCTCAGCTTTCAATTGTTTTTTATAAGTCATAATATTTCATATTTCAGAAGATTTCTTTTAACTGACCAAAGGCTCGTTCACCTGCTTTATGTAGCAGGTAAAGAGAATATCTTTATTTTATATCTGTAACAGCCTGAGATTTTACAAGGCCGTTTGTGTCTAGGTTGGAAACAAAATCCTGACTCTAAAATGACAATGTGAAGGCCACTTAACCACATGCCTTCTGGAACAAAGATGTCAAAGTTAGGGGACTGTTCTGTGTCTGTAACCATGGGGATCTATGCCTCTCCACAGCCCAGAAGTCCAGTTCTTGGAATTCCAGTGTTGTTTAGTATCATCTGTACAACTGGTGGAGTCAAATTCTCCTTCTTATGACTGCCCTATGTGAAAGACAATAGATTACTTCTACTTTCAATTATTTTCACTGCATAAGGTCCTGGCCTTTGGACCTAGGAGCCCAGGATTCTAGCTCTGCTGAATTGAAACTGTTATCAACAGGTATTCGCACTAATACAATAAAAGACAAGAGGGGCAAGAACTAAAATACTGGAGAACTGTCTGTATTCATATGTATAAAGAAACTGATTAAGATACATACCTTGGACATGTAAAGAAAAAGGCCTGTATTAATTTAAATTCATGCAAACATCTGCTCCTCCAAATCCCAAAAGATTAGATTCTAACAAACATAGTGATGCTCACCTAGGGCTCTGTATTGATATAACTATGTCATCTTTAAACAATACTGCAATTACCACTCACACTTCACCTTGCAGTCCTATATTCCTGTATTGTTTGCCCTAATGGACCTTGGATTCTTTCAGTGTGCAGATGAGGTAATAAATGAGTGAGACATCAGTAAAGCTTTCTTGTCTCAAGGTGAATGTGAAGGTCTGGAGAGAGCTGGCAAGGATGACTACCTCCAGGAGTGAATTGCACCTCTCCTCTGTTGGTGATTTGATTGACAGTTAAATGTAACATCCATATGATATCCTCTTCTATTCCTGCATCATGAAGATTGGGATTCAAGTTCCACAGGTACTTCTGCTTTGGTGCAAGACTACGGTTGTTAGAAAAAAAAAACCCTTTGGCAGAAGAATTGAAAGGTCTCTGACATCTGTAGCAGCAATATGGCTTATTAAAGCAACCAGATATTTCAAAACAGCACCATAAACTTAATCTCATCCTTGCTGTTCAGGGTAAGGAACTTTCTGGATCATGCCAGGGATCCAGTAATCCTGTGTTCCTTCCTTAAACGTTGCCACCAATACAAGCTGCCCAAAATACATGGCACAACATGCTGCTATTGCTATGGAATAATACATAGGGAAGCATCTTTCTCCACTCAGGAGGTAAAAGCTGGCTTCTTCAACTCTGAAAATGCCTATTTTAAAACACCTGTGTCTCCATATCTTTAATTTTCTGACTTTATTTGTGGGTACATAAAAGGCAGAAGAATGAAACAACACCTATTTGCGCTCTCAGGAAAACAAGTGCTTAGAGTACCAGGCTTAACCAAAATGCTAAAAGGCACTGTAGCAATGACAAGCAAGTCAATAAACCTCACAGTAACAAACATGCCACGATCCCATCAAATCCTGCTGTGGGTGAGGCATTCGCAGCTCTGGAACTCAACTGATTCATACTTAAAGCCTTCAGTGACAAACAAAACAAAGCAAATCAAAAAACAAGTCCCCAGAACTGCACATCCTGGCTGTTATTTCCTAGTGAAATTAACACTTTAAAAGCAACTTGTGCCCTCTTCTGTGCACGGGTGCTAATGCTCACGGAATTGACACAGCTCCTTTGGCCGACTTAATTTAATAATGTATTTTTGAGCAAAAAACTTGTTTCTCATCAAAATTGTTTTTATAACAGAAATAAAATGTACCCCAGCAATGAAAATACAGTGCTCTACAGTTGATTAAACATTTATGCACATCCATCACACTGTCCCTGCAGGGGATTGGATGGTACTGCTTCTTCACTGGGAAATATAAATTTTGTCAACAGTGGTTGCTTCTTCACTGGTGGTGGAATCCCCAAGCTTTGTGAATTACCTGCCAGACACACAAAACGAGGGAAAAACAGGCCTCACCTGTTCTGCCAACTCTCAAGCTGCATTAGTCAACACACCATAGATGCTCAGCTGCATTGTCCCATAATGGTTTAGGGTTTATAGAGATACATATTGCTCTGAGCCTATCTTCATGATGGTTGTGCACGGCAAGAATTTATAGGAATGGACCACAAAGTATGAACACACCAGCCAAACTTCACATCCATCAAGATTACCAACACTTCACACCAGAATCATAAATACATGTATAGCTTTCAGACCTTCAGATATCAAAAGGCAAGTGCCCACTGAAATCACTGTCTTCAATTTCCATCTAACTGCTAGGGAGACCTGCTGTTGATGACAGGCAGTAGATGAATGTACACTACTGATACAGAGCTGCAAGTCAATTGATATTCATTGATATGCACCTAAACTGCATGAGCAGGACGCAGCCCTTGGCATCACAGTTCACATATCCAGTCAAGACCTTGTTAAAAACTCACATCATAGGACACCCTGATTGCAGGCAAGTCCAGGTGCTGGCAAGACACATCAAAGCTGAAAGAGTTGCCTCAGAGTGCACATGAACAAGAGGCAGCTTGTGCTGGAGGGTAAAAACACAGCCTGTCTATCCAAAGAATAAAGCTTTAGGAGAAACGTATTGTCTGAGAAAACACTCTCTTTTTTGCTCGCCACTGCAGAATGATAAGGATGGAAACTGA